CCCTTGGTACAATTTGGTTTTTACCTTTGTTCTGGTGCATGGAACTGTATCATAATGTAGATAAATAAAGGTAATAGCAAATTATAATTGAACCACAACATACATGCATAAGTGCAATTTACAAAAGTGAGAGTAGCACAATAAAAATGTAAGATAAAGAAAATAATACCTCTAGATATCCTTTTTTGAGAAATATTTCAGCCAGCGTATAGAGCACAATAAGAAGAGCAATAATGTAATATATCGAGCCAATTCTTCGATCTCTGATAATAACAAGCTTGTAGGTTATGTAGTGCAACAACGACATGTTGCAAATCGGTGGAAACTGGTGCAAGAGTAGGCCGGAAGTGCCGGAAGTGCAAGCTCGGCACTTCCGCTACGAGAGCGAGGCTTCGAAAGCCCCTATTCGTTTTGAACAGCGGTTATTTATAGCGGAAATTTCAAAATTTCCAATATGGCGGCGGAGAAGAAAAAGAGACGAAAGCGAAGAGATTCAATTAGCGCTCTGAAACCACCATTAGATTTTATTGAGAGTCCTTTGAATGGGCAAAAGTACTACTGCACTCCTGTCCAGGCTGCAAGAAGGCCATTTCTGGCGGCATCTTTGCCTGTAGATGATGAAGTGTCTATGAAATGGGTAGGGATTCGTGCATCATTTTAGCTTAATAAAAAACACTTTTTTCAAAAAGAAATCCATTAACTCACTGTTGTCTTTGTTTTTTCTGGTCCTCCTCCTGTTAGTTATTTTTAGTAGCTTTAAGCTAATTAAATCAGTAGCTTCGTTCATTCTGAATTTTCCCCTTTCTTTGCACTGAAAAGTGCTCTTTTAATTAATTATATTTCTTTTGTAATTTATTCCTCTCTAAGGTTTCACCACAATTTCCAAATCAAGTGGATGATGAAGACCTATTGGCTTTGATAAGGCCAAACAAAAAGTCGAGAAGAAGGGGGAAAAAGCAAGAAAATGATCAAAGTGTTCCTGAGGAATTATTAAGCTTAAATAAACATCTGTATGCAGCACTGGAATTCAATTGTAAAAGCAACGCTTCGAAATCTGGATGCAAGGAAGTCAACACGAACACTGAGAGACCATGCAGGAGATCTCAAAGACTTCAACTTAAAGAACTAAAGAAGACTCATTTCTTGTTTCAAGCACCTCAAGTGGCAACTCCAGTGAACAAGAGAGGAGAAGTTGTTCTTGCATATGAAACACCTGATCAAGAACTTTTTATGAAAGTTAAACAAAGACAGTCCAGAATCAAACACGGGGAGATAACATAGATTGATTTTCTTCTCGAATCCTTCTTCAAACTCACCAAGTTTCGGCAAATAATAAATTAATGCACCTATCAATGTTAAGCTCCAGCAAGGGGGGGGGGGGGGGGGGGGGGNGCAGTTTTGATATATGGTCCCACAATTCCATAAGCAGAATTTCCAGGAAAAGTGGATTTTTCATTTTTCATTTTTTTTGGTGGGGGAGGGGGAGAGGAGAGGGGACATCAGACCCAGTGGGAATTTGACATTTCAAAGGAAGCTGTGTCAAATTTCCCACTCCTGGGCACCTAGGAAATGTCAATTTCCTGCCTCGTGGCTAACTTATTTGTGTCAAAGCAGGTCTTAGTAAATATGAAACTGATCCTGGGGTGGCACCTAAGAGTCTCAGTCCCTACCCAGGGGAAGGGTTGCTGAGGCAATTTCCGGTAGGTAGCCCGCCCTCTCCCCTGGGGCTTAAATTTGATAGGTGCATAGTGATGTCTCTAACGCAGGCTTCCGTGTGAAAGGCATGGGGATTGCTTTCTTCCCACCTAGGGGTTTATCAGATTTCTGTCTCACTTAATGTTTAGGGCAGGATGCTAATGTTTTTACCCATGAGGCCTTCAAGGTATCTTTTAAGGTTAATATAAAAAAATAAAAAAGCACTGTCATGCTGTGTTTGGTTTAGATCTATCAGACAAAATCAAATGAAAGTTTTAAAATTTATTCCAGCATAGATGAAAGCATTTGTTGATAATGTCTCTATTGAATTCGCTATATAGCAATACTTTTATTTTTATGCCTGTCCTAGCATAATTCTTGTTGCTGGGGGGCAAATAATACCAACGATAATTAGCCACACTCAGTTTGATCTTTGACAAGTCTCCCCATCCCTTTAACATGGGAGTTCCCCCAGGGATAAATGCCTCAGTTTACCCTCTCACTGAATACATGCCCCACCTGCAAGATTCTTGCAGGTGAAGATGTCTTGGATTCGACATGATAAAGATGATATTGATGACATAGCTCTCTATTACTTGCATGACAAAATTCAAAGTCAAATAACAACCTGTCAGAGAGAATACAATACACTGTATGAAATTCTGTAGAACTATATTAGATCATTATAGGGAGTGTTAATAGAATTTATTGGGCTGAAAGAGACTTTTGTTTACGCTGGATAACAGGATAATATTATACTATATTTATAA